TATATTATATAACATTTTTTTCTTCTTATCATCTAAGCTTTGCAACCTAATATGTCTCAATGACGCTCGAGTAAATACCCATTTTGCATCGTGGGCTCCCCTGCTATGACTAGAAATCGAGATCCAAAGTCAGTCTGGTACAAGTCATGAATATCTTATATAACTTCATTTTGATTGCCCAAAATTACATTCTAATAAGGTAAATACAGCTGATAATATTCTGATGACATATTGCTCTGCAATTAACGTGTCAGTTTGATTAATGAAATACGTCTCAAAAATAGTCTTGTGGTTTTAGGAGAAAATGTTTGATATTTGTTGATTCAAGTGGAGAATCATCATAATTATTTTGGTTGATGGTGGTGGTTATCATTAGAATTATCTTCAAGAATAACAAAACCGGCAATCAAAATTATTTTCATCGAAAAATAGCATGAGGTAAGTTAAATTTGTTTTTTTTATTATGGAAACTCGGAGTTTCACAAATTTCTGAAATTATCTGAGAAACATAGAACGTTAGTTTTAAATTCAATTCTGCTTATTTGATTGAACATAAATGTTCAAATTCAATTTTTTTGTTTGTAATTTGCATTCATATTAGAGAGCTTATTATTTGAGAATTGCAAAAGTGATTGAGATGACTTACGTTATAGAAAAAAAATCCTAAGGAATTGGATGAAATATCTAAAGAAGAATTATATTTTCAAAAAATATTTACAAATCCAAAACTGAATTCGCAAAAAAGATTATACACATCTGCCGTTGGTGAGAGGCTGACACCACATCACTTCCAAAACAAGGAGGATACTTTCGAAAATATACACAAAAACTTCGAAAGATATGTGCATTATACACAAATATTTCTATTAGAAAATTCATTTGAAATAACTACTTTCCTCTATGAATAATGAAAATTGAATAGAACACTTTGAAGAACTATTTACTCAACTTTTTGCGTTTTTTCGAATGACCAGCGGTCAATTCTCCAGCAAACTCCGGAAAAAACTCCGACGTCAATTCCCCGTTTCCCTTTCGTTGGAGTGGGTTAGTAAGTTGTCGGACGAAGTAAAAAATGGTCAGTGGTGTTTGCAGAAGTTTTATTAGGAAAGATGTCTCGCTTACTCTTACGACCCTCTGTAAATGAGAACGTGTGACGTATTGTCGGAAGAAGTCGTAAATCTAATGGATACCGGCTTTTTCGTCCGTGTAGGACATTCCGTTCTGGGGATTGATGGTTGTCAGATAATCATAACAATCTTAATCTACACATTCAGTGCGGACGTAAAAATCCCCTTTTTTTTTACTTTAGTATGGAAGAAGTATCAAGGTCGGAAAAAAGTTGCATTATTAATGTGTCTACGCAAAAAAATCCTCCAACAGTTAGTCGAGTGAGGAAATGTCGCGCACAATGAGGACAAATACAAAAATTTTTGCCGCGAGAGGGCGGTGAGGGTCGTGTGGTCAGTTCTCGTCGTTATTTCATAATTCATATGCGGATAAAATATGGATTCATTTGCATTATACGACGAGGAGTCAAGACATATTTCAAAGAAGAAGGGTCCAAAACCAGAGATACTTACTAGGACGGAAGGTATGAAGTGTTAATGTTACAAGCACAAGTGAAACATGAAAAATTAAAAGAATGTAAAAAAACATTGACATGAAAGGAATAAAAATTAGGACAAAGAAATGACGATGAATGATGAATGAAGATGCAAAGAAAGAAAAAAAGAACAGATATATCGAATCAAACTCCTTCACGACATTTACCTTCATCAACCTTCGGTTGATGACTGATTCATCTTCATTTTTGTTCTTTACATATCATTAACCTAAACATATTATTATTCGATCAATAAAAAATTCCTGTTCATTTCAGCTCACGATAATTTATTTCTTTTACAAATTACTGTTTTCATATTCCTGAAAATCCATACTCATCGTTCATTTTTTGTCAAATTTTCCTATTTCAACTTATCTTATTTTCCATATTTCATCAATTCATATGTATCGTACACTTCAGATGTCACATTTTCCTGAAACTATCTAGAGGTATCATATCAGGTGATCTAGTGGGCCATTCGAAGGCACCATGTCTCCCTTCTACAGGTTTGGATAACTGATAAACCATAACTAGATTTCAACTTATGTTACGTTTCAGCAAGCTGAGATAACTCCTCATTGTGAAAGACTCTCTCGAAAGTGACTAGATAACACATAAATATTCCAACTGTATCCCAATTGTTTCACTCCTAACCTACCTTAATGCCCAATTCTTATGCTCCTGTTCGGCCAACACAGGGTTTGGACTTCCATTCTCTAATATGATTCGAAATCTATGAAAGAACAAATGAAATTAGAATAAATAGCTGAAATAGGAAGATCCTGATTCACATATATTTATAATATTCGTAATCAGTTATAAAAATACTTAATGCTAAACAATGTTTAAATATAAAAATACACCCATAGTGTCACAATCATCAGATATTAAAATATACACATATTATATTCATGTACACTCAGTATACGTGAGCAACACAAGCTACTCACACACATCTTTTTACATGAACAGTAGTGAAATGAATTCATTCAGACGAATTTTAAAAGTGTTTAAAGACGGTGAATTGTTCACTTCATTTGAGAGGTTATTGGAATCATTTAAGCCCTTGAAGAATAATATTTTCATTGAGCTTAAATTTCGAGTTCGAGCTATATGTGTGAATCTCATTATTATATGTAATTATTGAACTAAGAAAACTTGGGACTAACTTTCTTGTTATTTTATAAATGCACACCATTGTCATGGAAAACAGGCGTTTATTTATGTTATACCAGTTTAAAGTTCTTAACATCAGATCAATTGGAACATATTTACTACATTGCAGAATGATTCTCATACCCCTATTTTGAAGTTTTTGTGAAGTCATCAAACAGTTTTTGTCCAACAGGTACAGTAAGTTAGCACAATAGTCAAAGTGGGGTTTCATTATCGTCCTATAAATGGTAATTTATAGGACGATAATTTCCAGATAGAAAGAGTAGCTTTTTTGATATTTTTTCACAGATGTAATCGCTGTTACTTTTGAAACTCAATCTATCATCTATCATAAAACCCAGATATTTAAATTCCTCAACCCATTCTAGATTTCCACCTTCTATTTTCATGTGTAAATGTTGGTAGTTTACCCGCAAAAAGGGTAAGGAAATCATAGTCTCTTACAAAATTGATATCATTCAGGTAAGTAATGAATAGAAGAGGCCCCAAAACACTGCCCTGGGTCACCCCCATTATTATACCTTTTTTAACACTCGCATGATGATTTGATGTATAGTGGAGATATCTATTTGTATGTGTTTTCTTCCCATAAACATTTGTATCAAGTTGATCTGATGACTTCTCCAACATTACATCAAGGAATATAAAGTTCTCCATTATAATTTTTATATTTTTTCAGATTGTGGAAGGTAACAATTACCCAAAAAAAAGGTCGATAAAAAAAAAGTTGATTTACTTCGAAGTATTTTGACAGTTGTTAATGTACAATGATTTCTAAAATTTTTTCGATGTTTGGCCACGTGTTCATTCCTCTAAAATCTGTTACTTCAGTTGCGTTGTTAATTTTAGGGATAGGAATCACAGTGTCCAAATAAAGATTATCATTTTACTGAACTTGTCTGATTTGGAATTTCCCCATCCTTCTTCTTCAGTTGTTCAACAAACTCGCCCTGTGATATTTGAAATTTTGTTTTTCAGCATTTCACTTCACAATTTTGATATTTTTTAAAATTCTAAATTTTTCAATCTGATATAACATTATGAAATACCCTTGTGTAGAAGTCTTCAGAATTGTGAACTCGCTATTTTCTCTTCGAACCTCTTTTATTTGAATAAGTGATATTCGACTGAGTACCATTTAATATCATCTTGATTTTTTCTCAGATGCCTCGGAAAAGGAAATGAAAAGTTTTCGAACTCTTCACAAATATTTTTTTCTAATTCCTGACCAATACAAATGACTGCAACACAAAAATAGGCTATTTTTGTCTCCAAATCAGCGCTGGTCAAGGTCAGCGCCTCAGTGGCATTTGGCCGTTAAAATTATATGTACCAGTCCGCCCCTGTTCTTGTGCCAATATTCTTGAATAAAATGACCATTCATTTCGCTGTTTTTGCACCAAGTGCGGATCGCAGAACTGTAGGACTATTAAATTTCCATGGCCATTACGACGTGCACACACCCAGCGAGCCTCGCAAAACAGTTGCCGAACGCCGAATGGGGCAGTAATGAGGGTGCATTCAGTGCACTGCCTCTGGACGCGTTCAACGTTTAACGCTCGTTATATCTAGAGACCTCTGACTCGCATCTACATAACGTTTCAATTGTAAATACTTCCTTTGGGGTGTTTGTTCAGGATGTGAGTCATTTTGAGTTTTGTTCAGCAAAAAGTTATTTCACCATGCTCGTATGAGGTGGCACCCTTGAAATGGAAAATAGGACAACGAATAAAATGATAGTTTTCGTGAAAAATGGAATTCCGCATCTGAAAGCACATACTTTCCGAAATGGGAATGAAAATGTAATTTACCACATAATTTTTTGAAAGAACCTTCAGAGACGGCGGCCTTATTTTTGGAACCTATTGATGAAAAAGAGGTAATAATAATAATTTCAGAACTCAAAAATAATTGTTCTCTAGGTCCAGATGGAATAACAACAACCCTCACTGAAAATATTCAACCCTATACAGTGCATTGACGGAAACAGATTCAGTTCGGTTCCTGGGTTCAAGATTTTCAGCAAAAATATAAAAACACGTCAACAATAGTATACAGGGAAACACATTTTGACATATTCATATTTGATGTTACTTTCCCTATCGCACCCCCAGATCATATTAACAAATTTTTTGAATGGATCACCCTATATTATTTCGCATTATCAGATGCTACATGGTGAGCAGATTTCAAGAAAGTATAAAACATATGGTCTAAAACTTATGGTTCGGGAGCTCCAAATTAGTTGAGTTGAAAACGAGCCACACTGAATAACTTGTGAAACAATGATATGCAGGAAAAATAAAACAACAAGTCAACAATTATACAGGAGGCCACATTTTGAAATTTTTATTTTTGAATTGTAACTTCACCTGAAAGGTAATCGTTATTTTTTAATGAGACAAATACAAAATGAAGAGAATTTCGAATTAAAAATCAACTACGCAAAATAATACTTTTTTGAAGTATACTTTACAAAAAAACCTATGAAACCTAGGTAACAGATTTTACAGAAGTTCATTCAAGGTGGCTCATTTTCAAATCATTATTGTATTAGTTTGAGAATGTCCATATAGGACGAAACCGCAGTAACGTTAGTTACAATTGAAAGTGGTAAAAACATAGAAATTTTCATTATGATCTCCTACCACGTAGTAACGGCTACATCCATCGATTTATTATTATTTTACTGATAAAATATAATTTTTCAATACTTATTATTTTATTCCCGACGAAGACAAATCCAAAAAAACAAAATTCATAAAAATTGATTCGGCTGTTCTTGAGTTATTTTATTATTATTATTATTTTATTGATAAAATATCATTTTTCAATACTTATTATTTTATTCCCTCCTATTCCCAATGAAGACAAACCAAATAAAAAAAAAATCATAAAAATTGATTCGGCTGTTCTTGAGTTATTTTATTATTATTATTATTTTATTGATAAAATATCA